CAGTCCAAAGTCCAATTTTCACACTGAATACATTGATCATCCGACCAGTTTCATCACATCCGCTGTCTAGTAATCCGGTCTGTCCGACCTAAAAAGTGTGCATTGTGTTCAATTTACCGTGAACAATACCAAATCTCACACTCCAAGTAACGTCCCGCGTAAAACAATGGCAACTTATTAAGTTTCTCACACCACACGCCCAGACATCGCGTGGTGTCTGGACAGTATAATGACACCGGATATAAACAAAAAGATTGTTTACAGGAAAAGTGTGAAATAATGTTTTATCATGTTTTCTGTAATTAAAACAAAAGAATTTTTCCCATAAGAAGATCGATCGATCAGTTTTCCAGTCACTCTGTTTTTGACAGCGATCACTACAAGCACCATGCTCTACAACTATCGATATCGTTTATTTACTGCTTTTATTTACCATGAGCCGACCACCACAGAAACGTCGTAGGGTAGAACTTACCCTAGCTGACAAAGTCAAGCTTATGAAGGATTCCGAGTCAACGAATCTAACTCGACAACAACTTGGCCAGAAGTATGGCATCGGGAAATCTACAGTGACAGACATCATAAAGAAAAAGGCGGACTACATGAAGCAGTTTGAAAATAACATCGATGGATCCAGACAGCGCATCAAAACTTCATCGAAATTTGAAGAAATCAATGGCTTAGTTTGGACATGGTTTCAGCAGGCTCGTGCAAAGCATATTCCAATATCTGGTCCGATGTTGCAGGAAAAAGCATTGTCATTTGCGTCTGAACTTGGTGTCCAAGATTTCAAAGCTTCTAACGGGTGGCTTGAAAGCTGGAGAGGGCGTTATTCGATTAAATCGTTCAAAGTCAACGGAGAGAGTGCCGATGTAGATTTGGAAGTGGTGGAAGATTTCAAACAACGCATTGGTGAACTGTGTGAAGGGTACAGGCCAGAAGATATTTTTAATACCGATGAAACTGGTGTTTATTTTAGAGCCTTGCCTGATAGAACACTTGGAACAAAATCAGACGATTGTAAAGGCGGCAAAGTTTCAAAGGAGAGACTGACCGCGTTGTTTACATGCAGCATGACTGGCGAGAAAATAAAACCGTTCGTCATCGGAAAGGCAGCGAAACCACGCTGTTTTAAAAATATTGATCCAAAAACTTTGCCTGTATACTGGAATTCAAATAAAAAAGCCTGGATGACAAGTGCCTTATTTGAAGAATATCTCCGTGATTTGAACAATCAAATGCGTCGTAAACGCCGAAAAATCTTGCTTTTTCTTGACAACGCCACTTCACACTGCCCGAACATTAGGCTATCGCATGTCACTCTGAAATTCTTTCCTGCCAATACAACATCTGTTTTACAACCGCTAGACCAGGGAATTATTAGAGCATTTAAAGCTCGATACAGAAAGAGACTCCTACGTTCTGTTATTGCAAAGATTGACACGGAATCGAGTGCGAGTGAAGTGGCGAAATCCGTAAATGTACTCGACGCCGTACACTGGATCAACAGTTCGTGGGGATTGACACGAAATCTGAGACAATAACAAAATGTTTTCACAAAGGTGGTTTCAATCAACTGGACAGTGAAATCACCGATGTGGAAGAAGCAGACGACACAGAAGAGATAAGAAATCTTATCAATGAAGTCACAGGGCCAGATGTTCAATGCACCGTTGACGAATATCTTAACTTCGATGACAATATGCCGACAGAGGAAACTTACGATGGCGAATGGGAACAACAAATTTTAGAGAATTTTATTGAAGACAAAGAAAACCAAGACTGTCTAGATGATGATACAGAAAGCAGTGAAAATCAAATCGTCAATGAATGTGACGAGGGCAGCGACATGACACATCAGGATGTGCTGCACATGTTGACAAAAATAAAGAACTTCGCAATAAACAAAGACTCGTGTTACCTGACTGCAGTCCAAGACCTGCAAACCATGACTGAACGAAAAATTGTACAGAAAAGATGTTCTTTGAGGCAGTCAACTTTGGACAGTTTTTTCACACCATAAACTGACATTTATTGTCGTACTTAACCTAAGTTTAGTGACTTTTTTCAACGTGAATCAGTGACGTCATTAAAAATGGACGCCTTCCTTAACATGTATACGTACCTGTCATCAGCCGACGATCCAGTTGTTGTTTTTTTTCTTTGTTTTTTTTTTTTTTTATTTAAACAATATTTTTATTTTGTTTCAATAATGGACATACAACACAAAATATTACATCACATAATGGAAAAATAAAGAAAAAAAAAAAACTAAGAAAAAAAAAAGATCTGGTATAACATCTAAATTTACCCATTATCTAATGGTTCCCATTTCTGATAATGGATAAGCTCTTTGTTTTTGTTTATTGCGATTTGTAGTTCAATATTTCTATTTTCCCTGATCCAACTTTTATATGCGTATTTTGTTGGATGAACCCTTTGAACCCTACATGTATATACATATTTTTTAAATAATAAAATAAAATGATTTAACAGTATATTTTCCGGTTCACATAGACCTATAATAATATTTTTGACATTACAAACCAAATTGGCAATAAGTTTGCAATCACTTTGCAACAGTCTCCAGTCTCTTTACAACAATACAGTTAACAAATAGGTGTTCTAATGTTTCTTCTTCTTTTTCACAAAAAGAACAGTGGGGGGAATTGATTATTTTCCATTTATACAGTTTTACGTTAGTTGTTAAAACTCTGTGTAGAATTTTGTATTGGAAATGCTCTAAGATCTGTGGAGATTGTTGTCTTGAAAGGTAGTTTGAAAATTACATTTTGTTTCATCCCATACAAATGTTGGAAGTCTATGGCA